CCCTAAAGTGATAAAACACGCAAAACCTTTTTTGGGACTGGTTGGAGCAATGGTAGCTTAACTAACTAAATCTCCCAATTTTTTAAAAGATTTTTTTAAAGATTTTACTGACCTGTGAAATGTTGTCTCTTTGGACCTTGAAGTCTTGCTACTGTAGTGCTGTCAATCCATATCAAAACTTTGCGTCCCCCTCACAGATTATTTGCTTGATTGCGTCATTTCTCCGAGCACTGATATCAATCACTCATTATAAAGCAACAGCGCGTGTGGCGAACAGTAAATCACAGAAAGTCCAATCCAGTAGACGACTGAGCGGACTTGCCATTTACGTTTTACAAAGGAATTTTAAAAAGCGTTACCTGGCTGTTAATGCTTTGAATACAACGTGAAGCTGCTGCCGAGTTACATAGTTGAAGGTACATAAAGAAATAAAGATTGAGGAAATATTGCTGGGGACATGTCCACACCAGCCTAAGCTTACATCACCCCAATTTACATCACGACCTTCTTGCTTTCCTCACAACAAATTACCGTTTTTTTGTTTTCTCAATCTGAATCGTTTGCAAAGTCAATTTTCTAGAAATTAATGGTACATTTCTTAAGGACAATGTACACTGGGCAAGGTTACGTTATTTTCTAAATCTGTGGGGAACCGGAGTACCAGGAGAAAATCCCACACTAACATGGGGAGAACAGAAAAACTCCCACAGAAAGAGGCGACTGGTTGAAAACAAAGACCTATTTTCTGTGAAGATGCAGCGCTAACCACTGCATCACCATGCTGACCTTTTGTTTTCGTCTAAAATGTGAAATGTAATTTGGGGTTTTTGAAATCTGGGGAAACCGGAGCGCTCGGAGAAAACCCATGGCCTTTTTTTGGGGGGTCTAAAATAACATGTATTTTGGGGTTTTGGAAATGGTGGAGAATCTAATTGGATTTTGTTTCCTAATTGCTATCCTCAGAGGTCTTCTTGCTCTTCTTCCACCTTTGAGGTTTTCTGATCCCCAACCTGTGTCTCATCCGTTTCCACAGGGATTTTTCTTTAGCAACTGTCTCCTCTGCGTCACCAACCCGCCTTGGTGGCGCATCAGAAAAATCAATATCCTCTGAGGAGGTTTCTTCTGATACATCGTCTGTATCCGTGGATGCAGAGTCTGAGGTCCACAGATGTATCTGGTTTTGTCCTGTTGGGCCTAATTGCAATTGATGGACAGCACTAAGTTGTTTCAAGAGTCTGTCTTTCTCAGATTCCAGGTCATGAATGATGGTCTGGTAATTCAGTATTTTTTCTGAATATGCCTCTAGTCGTTGATCCATATTCTGCTTAAATATCACCGCTTGCTCTATTATCGCAGAAATATTGCCTTCTGATCTGACTTCCAGCTCCTGATATGATATGCGTGACAGCTCCAGGAGACATTCCAGATGGTGAATTTTCTTCGTTAATTCTTGATTCATGTTTTTTTCTTCTTCTAGTTTTTGGTGGGAAACCACCATCTGCTCCAGTTCTCTCTTCAGTCTCATCTCTGTCTCCCTGAAGCTGTCAATGTCCTGGGCCATTTTGTTTTCCAGTTCTTGCTGAATTTCCCTCTGCAGTTTCTCTTCAGATTTAGATTGAAGCTCCTCATACCTACTCTTCATTTGGTCCAGTTCTTCCCGTAAGGCATTATTTTTTTCTTCCTCTGCCTTTTTGATGCTTTCCAGCTCTCTCCTCAACTCAATGCATTGATGAATGAAAATATCTTTGAGACTTTTCTGTCTCTCTAGTTCTCTTTCTAGCTCGCTACAAGAACACCTCATCCCACCGTTTGAATAATTTGGCGTTTTAAATGACATGTTTCTGTGATCGATACTATTTTAAATTATTGTTTAAACGCAAATGATAGATTGATGCTGTGTGCTGTCTAAACCGTTCGGTTGTGTCGCAAGGAATGACAAGAAGGTAGAAGTTTGTGACATATCTACAGTGCTGATGACATCACAAGCATGACTCTAGTTGTGACATCACAGAGCTTTTCTTCATCTTTGAAATGATGATGCGAGTGTTTGAGAACTCTACCACACTGACCAACAAGACTCCTCCTCTCCCCCATATTGAAATAGGGCTGGATGAGGGCTAATGATTGGAGGGTTATACAGTGTTAGGGTGACTGATTTATTCTTTCTGTAGATTTTTGTTCATGGTCATTTTTTGTTGAGGACATTGTCCTGTCTTTTTTGCTCTTACTTTTTTAGTTTCGCATAGTTGGAACGATGCGTATCCATAGCAAAGACGTGCTATTTTTACTACTAAGAAATACTAATCATCATTTCAAAAGTTCAAATAGTGAACTACTATCACCTGTACTACAACTGCAAATCTCATGAGACTTGAAAAGAAAGCTTTGTGGAAACAAAGCAGAGGAAAGTTGAGAGTTCTTCCGTTATTTTGTAATGAGCTAGAATCATATCCCCAAGTCCAACATCTTTCTGCCCAGCTTTCAAACCAAACAGTCAGAGATATTTACAAGGAAGCAGCCTAAACATAGAAAAAGGGTTAAATGATTGTAAGCTTATGTGTACACACTAGATGAGTACTTAAAACAGCAGTGCTGACCCAGGCAATATTTTTAATTTTGGTTATTTATTTTCATAATTTCTTACACAAAATCTCTGTCCATCACAATTGTGACCTGGATAAATAAAAGTAGATTTGAAATGACTGCAGAAAACATGGAAAAACATACAGGCTGAAGAATAAACCAATGACAACAGGTTTGACAATCGCATTAATATGCTTTATTCAGGTCAAATTAGTTTGACAACGTATGACTAAGTTACATTAACTACACATCATCCCACCAATCAAGTTTCCTTCTGCAACAGAAATTTATGTTGGATGTTCAGAAGACACTTTAAACCAGAATGATCCACACAGCCAGTAAAGAGAATTTCAGTAAATCGTGTCACCAAGTAATGGCTTCTCCTCCTCTGACTCTTCACATTGTGGTTGTATTAATTTGTTCCAGCACTGGTGAACCGTATATAAGTGAACCTGAGCCTCATTCTTCACAGCCTCTGTTGTTTTCCGTGATGCTTCCTTTGGAGTCTCTGCTCCTTCAGCCACATCGTACCCAGATAAAGCCCATTTGACAGCACCTATAGCAGCTACTGCTGCTATAACGCTAAGACATGTCACTGCTGGTACCACACCGCCCGCCAGTGCTGGTCCTCCTACCCCTGATGCCATCCCTGCTGAAGCTACAACTGTTCTCCCAACCACCTTCCTCAGCTTTACTGGCTCTGAAGATTCCTGTAAAACAGTGAGAGGGAAAGTAATAAAATAAATTCATTAATTCATCATTATCCAATTCAGTTCCTCTACAAAGTTTGGATTTTTGTTCATCTACACCAGGGATGTTGAACACGTTTTCATTTTGGGCCATATCAAAAATTTGAATCTTCTTAAAGGGCCGGTTGTACCACAATGCAATAATAAACCAATTCAATTGTCAAAATGTCAATAAATAGCTTTTCCTTCAGGATTTTGTGATTGTTTTACTGTTTTTGTTTTCTTTTTTGCTTTTGTTTTTAAGTCAAAATTGCACATTTTATGGTGCCAATTTAGAAATGGTTTGATAGAATTTTTTACAATGCTTGCACAACTGTATGACGTTAAACGTGACTTTTTTTATCACGCAATGTTTTTGACCAAATTTAAGAAAATTTGCAGTGAAATCAGAAAAAAATGTGGAGATTTGTTGATTTTGAGTGAATTTTTTAGACTTGTGAATTTGGGAATTTGGAGTCTTGGAGGCCACATAAAACGCTACGGCGGGCCAGATTTGGCTCTCGGGCCTTGAGTTTGACACCGGTGATGTAGAGCATACAGAGATACGGTTTTGGTTGGTGTGTGTTAGCAATGCTCAATAAGTGAATTTGAAGAAATTGCCTTTTCTAAACTGGGACTGTATCTAGTTTATGTACTCGAAGTGAAATGTGAAGTGTGTGTGAAACGTGGAGTCAAATTCAAGGTCATCTCCTCGACTAATAAAGTTTAGCACAGATTGACTCATCAATTGGAAAGTTATTTCCAACCCACCAATAAAAATGAAAACCATATATTCATTCCAATGTCATTAATCTAATGTAATAGGAGCTTAAGATAACTAAAAAAGATCCACACATAAGTCTGAAAACTAAAGAAAAACTGAAACTGTATCATAATAACATTTCTTCTTTTTCAGATAAAAGACCTGAAAATGGACATTGGGCGTATTGCCCGTTCCTTTTAAGAGCCTTTCTTTCTTTCACAGCATTTAGCTGATCAATGCCCAACTTCACTCAAGCAACTCTTCCTTGATTGAAATAATTTCCCTAAAATTAACTAAATAAATTCCTTAAAAATAACAATGACAGCCATGGTTGCTGAGTCAATCAATAAAGTCATAAAATACTCAAGAAACTGATTGAGAATTAATAAAATCAGCTGGTCACAAAGACTCAAACATTGTTTTTCCTTATACCTGTGTGATACTTAAGCTTATTCAGTTACAACACTAAAATTTTTTACAGAAAATAGCTTCATATCAGCTATTTTTCAAGAGAAGCTGAGGACTGAAGGACCGGCACGGCAGGGGGTGTTTGAATTAGCGTCATGTATTCTGAGAAGTGGCAATGGTTTCACTTCCTGAACTCGCACATAAAGCAGCTTCACCATTGTCACTACTCACAGCTCCTGTGACGGCGCACGAACCGATCCAATAAACAATCTTCTTCTTGACTTAAAATGTCTTGCTTGCTTATGACTGCAGCAAGAGCTTGAAATGTGTTTTAAAAATCAGCCAGCATCTTTCAAGCAAAACACTCATTTTAAAAAAAAGTGTTTCTTCAGTAAGAGGTTTTCCTGTTCTCTCTTTCAAACCGGAAATATTAAAAAGCACTTTGACTGCCTGCAGCCCTGCAGAAAACTCTTTCCACCATCTTTCAAGCAAAAACAAAAAAGGCAGTGGCCCCAAGATTTCCGTCACGTTACTTTATTTTGATCAGCAAACATAAAGTCACAAACATTTAAATATAAAAGGCAGTAACAAGTATAACAGATGAACACTGCATGGTTATGATAAGCGTCCAAACGCTGTTGGTATTCCTTTGTGTTCCAGTGCGTTGACCCTTTTTTTTTTCCTTTTGGTTTCACAGTGGAACAAAAACACACTAAATGTTTCATGTTTGTGTGATACTTGCTTCAGACACGATAGAAATGCATCAGAAAATACTGGAAGGCAGCAATGTGATTATGCAAACAAACACGTTTTTGGGACTTAGAACAATCTAACATTTAGAGGACTTATGTGCCTTCTGTCATGAATTCACCATCAGTCCCCCCGACTTCTCCCATGTGTCCTTTGTCTCCGATCTGCTCAGGTGCTGACAAACACCAGCCTGGCGCTGTAGGCCAGATCGGCAAGGTACAGCAGGAAGTTGAGACCAGTGAGGATGGCCACGGCGATCAGTTTTGTCTGGTCTCCCCACCTGCTGTACTTCTTGTCGAATTGGAAAATGGGCCAGAGGATGGTGGCCGTCAGGTACATGATGACGGCCAAGAGTCCGTAGGCCGACAGGAACTTGGAGAAGGGTACGGGGAGGCAGCCAGTGCACTCTCCCACGCACAGCACCACCACGGCCATGGAGAGGATGAAGCAGATGCAGTACACTGCCATGCACCACTTCAGGGCCGGGTGGTGGTCAAAGGACACGGGGTCGCTGACCAGCATGAAGATAATGCAGGCCACAAAGGTTTGGCACACCTTCATCAGACCTGGAGCAGTTTTCATGTAACCCGCCACTTCTCCTGGCCTGGCCTTGGACAAGCTCACCTCCACCATGTAGGCAACTGTTGCCAGGCAGGAGAAGACCGTGGACGCGATGCGATGATCGCTGATTTCCTGGGTGAGATACTGGCCCCTGAGAAAAAACACAGGGAAAATGATAGAAGCCGAGAGGCAGAGGAGGGAGGCGTAGCAGGCGACTGTGATGGGGAAGTTGGACCAGGAGACAGGGATTCGGGACTGGAGGCTGCACTGCTCCACCAGCAGGACCAGCAGGGTACAGGCGAAGCTGAAAGCCCAGCTGAAGATGCACCAGTCCGCCATACCTCCGTGGGGCAGACTGCCTTTATGTGCTACAAGACTGAAAGCGGTGCAGGTGAACAGCACCGCAGCGATGCGCACCCACAGCAGCTGGGATGTTGGGAACCAGGTCACCGGCATGGTGGGTCAGTCAGGTCTATGTGAGTCTAGGACCGCAAGACGACTTTCAGCTGGGTCCTGTGCTGGGGTCCTGTCAGGCTCTTTCCCTCTGTTGGAACGTGTCAATCTCTGCATACAGAAAAAATAAAATCAGAACCAGCTGACGCAATTTGGTTGCATGGTTTTCTTAAAGTCTGAAAATAAATCCAATGTCACTATGTTGATGTTTTTGACAAGTGTCCAGAGTACAGTAGCTTGAAAACCTTTTGGCACAGCCATAAACATTGGTAGATTTCACTAGTAATACATAATAGAACACCAGGCAAGTAGCTCTGACTCAGTGGGATGTGTAGTTAGAAAGCTTTCATTTGAATTACAGTGCCCTCACCGCCACATGTCAACTTGCCCCTTTTGGGTCGTATCACATGATATCAATTGAATTTAGGCTTGGTCTTTGACTTTGTCACTCTAATACATGAGTAAGCTTTGATTTAAAACATTCCACTGATTTTCTGGATGTGAGTATGTTTGTTTTCCCATTGGAAGGCAAACCTCTGTAGCAGTCTTAAGTCTTCCCCAGCCTTTAAGCTTCTCTAACTGAATTCTCCCATATTCTTCTCCTCAACACGAACCAGCATGATATTGCTAAAGCATGTTTGACAAAGTGATTCTCATATTGGGCCGAAAATGCTCATTTGCTTTCAAATGACTAGACAATATTTCTCCATGTTTTGCTGTGTATCTGAAGAACTAAAAGTTGTCCTTTAAACCGATAGCTCTTCCAAGGATCTTTTAAACGTTTCCTGGATTTATGAAAAAATGTTCAGTCCTTAAGACCCAACTTTTAGATGGGTCTCTTCTCCTACACACTCAAATTAAATAACTAAACGGCCTCACTAGCATGCAGTCGAGCTCTACAAAGCTCTGCTAATCAGCTAATATTGTAGCCAGGTGTGCTGAAGGAGAAAGACATCTAAAAGTTGTGGGACACCAACTCTTAAGAACTGGAGTTTGAGACCACTGTTTTAAATGTAGAGAAAAAGTATAGCAAAGTAACTGAAGGCATATTTAGTTCTTAAGGGTTGAGATATTGGAACTAAACCCTTAAGATGTCAAATTTGATGTAGTTTCTTATCAAAACAAACAAAAACAAAACGCCTCAATTCACAGTTCAAATATACTGTGAGTTGCTACGTTCTTCGCTGCACGACTTCGGTTCGACCCTGGGCATGTTGAAGGAACAGGAATGAGTAAGATTTCCTGTTCGTGAAGTAACACGTTCACACAGGAAGCTGAAGTTTGGCTGCTAATGCTTCAAAGAGCTGGAAAGGCCCTCAGATTAAACAACAAGGGTAAGAGCAGTGAAGTTTCACAGGGTTGACTCTACTGCCCTCTTGTGTCCCTTTTGACTGGAGGCAAACCTATAAATTGTCCAAAAAGAAGCAACGTTGCTCAAAGAACTACTTTATTTTCTCATTCCAGACCCGAGTGTATTTGATATAGAAATTAGCTGTACATAAAATCAAATTGTCACTTTTTTTCAGGTTGAAATTTCCGTCTTAAACTTTAATAACATTGCCACGGGCGACAAAATCAAAGCCTACAAACAGCTTGTTCTATGACACATATGTATATGGGTAATCTTTTGTTTGTTTTTCTTTTGATTCAGGCTAATATCTCAATCAAAGAACCTGTAGCAATACATATAATTATTTAATTAGAACAATTTTCATACAAAAATAATGTATTGAGTCACCTGTGATTAATCTCTTCCACTTTACTGCGCGTTGGTTCAAATGAAGAACTCGGATGTTTGGATTGTATCTCATATCATCTCTCGTTTGACTCGTGGATTTAGACATCATTTTCTATTTCCTTCTGGAATTTTTAATATTTTTAAAACATTCTGAACATTTCAAATACAAAAAATTTATATAAATATCTTAAATTTCAGAAATCATTAAAAAAAACTTTTGGAGGGAAAGGGGTTCAGTAATCTGGGCTGGTTTGGATGAGCGAATTTCATCACTTGCAACTTTTGACATATTGATACTTTATTTATATTGTTTCACAGACAAACAATATAAAAAAATAAATAAGTAGTATATGGTATAGTTTATCTGCACTTTCGTCCATATTTGTAAACTTTAAAAAAAATCTGATTGTGTGCATTTTTCCAGATTTAAAAAAAAACTTGTCTAGTGAAACGTGCTTGTTATTTCTCTTCAGGAAGAAGGCGTGACCCTTAAGATGTCTGGCAACAATCTCTGTCGCTTTTGCCTGAACATTAATACCTTCATCAGCCATGAAATGCCGTCATAGCTCGCTTCCTGTCTTCACTTAGCAACACTAATACGCAGGAAGCTGATGCTGCTCTGTTATTGGCAGGAAGCAAACAACAAATCGATACCAAATTTAATTTACTCTAGAGTCAGCCCACGGGCTTGTTAGTTTGTTTTCTCTATGCGCCCTCGTTTTTTTTATCAAGCACACGGTTATTTATTTCTTTATTTCTTGAGGTTCTTGGGGTTTGACGTCAAAACTGCAACCCACAGACCATCACCGGTTTCCGAGCTGAGAGATGTGGGTTGATTGAGCGGCGGTGAGAACTGCGGCCTCCGTGACAGGAAACCCGACTTTGGGGTTTGACTTCTAGGTTTCCAGAGCGAACTAGTTTCATTTTGACAACGACAGTTTCACACTGACATTGTTAAGAGTCCGAAAATATCAACTCGGTGGACGCCAGGATGGAGGAGTGAGGCTTTTCCGTGCTCTCTGTCTGAATGCATACAGTAGTGGACAGCCACACAAGCGAGCGTTCTCAGTTAATAAGAGGTTCCCCCGTGTGTATCCCTCCGCGCCCATCACCACTGCAAACATCCCTGCTCCGGCAAAAAAAAAAAAAAAAGAAAAATAAAAGCGTCTTGTTAAATTTTCCCCAGTTATCTTGACGAAGAAAACAGGGGGAAATAAACACGTGACTTTAAGGGAGATTCAGCTTACCTTGGTGGGTTCTGGTCTCCCAGCTCGTCCTCGCCGTTAGGCAGAAGTTTCCGTGAATGTATGGGCGTGAGTCCCACGCCCCGCGGTGGCCATATTTGGTAAAAGTGTTCAAATCCTCCGCCCCCGCCCCGGGCAGCGGTTTTAGGTCACTTCCCCATCTGCGAGTGTTCATGCCTCGGTTAAAAATAAAACAAAAATGCCAAAAGTTGAGAGAGCGAGCTCATTGCGGGTTCATAGCTGCTGCAACTGGTTCTTATGAGGGATGACAACATCTGGCGTCGTGTTAATCGTTTGAATGCAGAAGTAAAGGCTTTGGTTTACAAAGAGTGCTAAGACAAAAGCTTAAATATCACCTCAGAGAGCAGAACGTTACACCAGAAGCAGGTTAGAGGTAAAAGGAAGTATACAGATTAAACCAAAGGGGTGATAAAAAGTCATTATTAATTGTTATAAATGCAAACAACCTCAATTTTTTTCCTGTAAACTTAAATCGGAAACGCATCTTATTTTGGCTGTAATATTTTCTAGACTTTGCTACAGGTTTCTGGAGAACATTTGTTGGATTTGACTATATTGAACCAAGGAGTTCAGCGGCGTTTCTGAAGGTGGGAGCAGGGGGGCCATGGCCACGCCTGAAAAAACGCTGACCACTCCGCCGAATAAGTCATCCCTACAATTTGGTAATGTTTCAACACGTTTTGTTAGAGTTTGTCACCCCCATCTAAAGGAGGGCTTTTAAAGCTACAAAAAAAAAAATAATAAAATTGCATGAATGGGACCCTATTAACTTTGGCCAAATATTTGTCGTACGATTTGTCATCACTGTGATGTTCACGTTTTGTGAAACGCAATTTTCCCTCATCTGCTCAGTATTGGAGAATTATTCTGTTTGCCGTCACATTTCTGTTGCAATGAAAAAGAAAGCACAATGAAACATTCACTTGCAAATCTGGAATTTCATCTTTTATTGAGGAAAAGAGAGTGATGGAACGGGTGTGAGGAAGCATCATCTGGGGAAACTTGTTGATGGAGGCCAGGGAGGAGGAGATCCGGTGTAGGGATAATCAGAAAATAGTGCTGATGTTGTTTTTTTGTTTGTTTGTTTGTTTGTTTTTTTTATAGAAGCAACTTGAAGGAAATAATTGGTTGTGTTGGAACACAACAACTGAAGTGTTTTTTTTTATTATTTAACTCATTTTCTTTATTACATAGTACATTAACGCACACCAGGTGTTAACCACCAGTTAATTAGAGTAAACTGCAACAGTAATGGAATATCACCATGCAACGTTAAAACTGGCAAAGCAGGCTCGTCCCAGCTTGTGAATCACAAAACGAAACGCATAGAGACGGTAAAGAAAAGTCACCTTAGTCCCGCCTTGAACTGTTTTGTGAAACGGATTAGAGACGAGTCACGGGAACGTGACAGCCAGTTCTCCGACTTCCAGCTGTGGTGTGTTCAGAAGGCAAATTTCATGAGCTTTCTAGTCAGGAATATGTCAAAAACACTCCCTGGAATCAGATTTTCAACCTGCAAAGTTTTAGATCTGCAGCAGATCCAAAGTGTGTGTTGCCAGCATGAAACATGCCGGACTTGTCCTACATTGTATCATATTGTACTGTAGGTAGACCCACACCAGCGAACAAATCTCCCCTGTCTTGCAACTTGCAAATCCAACTTGCTACTTGGATGTAACATCAATTCCATATCCGGGCGTTGATTTCTGAGACAAATCGAATGTGCGTGTGTGTGTCCTAGTTGTACTTTGATGTATCTCATTGAACCATTGTTACAACAAAACAAGACACAGTATCGGGAAAATGTTCCTTCTCGGGTCTGATTGAATTAAATTGAGGGAAAGGCGTTGTTATCGTCTTGTAGTTATCTTCTTGGTTTTCTGACCTACCATTGGAATTTGCTCCTCTTCTGTATTTGGGTGTGACGTCACTGCTAGATCCAAGGTCCAACCTTCAAGACAAATCTGGAGGAGGCAGAAATTTCTCAAATGTTTGTTTGTACTCATCTTTTGAAAGACTGTTGCAGAGGATGCGGTCTTCTGCTGTCATCCGTTGAGGTAGCAGCTCAACATTCGATTGCTTACACTAACAGATAAAAAGGCTGGATCTGTTCTAGAACTTGTAGAGTTGAAAGAAGTAAAATAAAAAACATTCTCTTCAAAAGACTACAGCAAATGTCTTAAGTCCTCATAACCTATAATGACTCTATGATGAAACCCAGATAACTTTTCCCAACAGCAGTAAAAACGTAGTTTTATATTTCAACCACCAAAATGCACTGAACTCCGGCCATTCCTCAGTCGTTTCCAGCTGCAGGTCGCCATTTTTCCCACATGAGGTCGCTGTTTCAACTGCTTTGGTGCTCGTGATCCTTGAAGATATGCTGGGTGATCAGCAGTCAGGACAACAAGATAACAGCACAGCAGGGATCATTATTTTTAACAACTGGGACTGCGGCGACGGCGACGGATATCACAACTACGTCTGGATTTGTCCTCTGCGTTATCACGACAGGGAAACACGCCTTTGATTAAATCAGTTTTTTTTGATGGAGAAAAGGACCTGCTTGGGATTTGGAACTCCTGTGGAATAACGTCCAGCTATCCTCGCTAACATGCGACTCTGCGTCTGAAATAGCACCAGAACGGGACCCCTGGATGTACCTAGCAGCATAGACACACACACACGAAGGAGTCCAGTGCGTACAGACAACCGCGTACCCTAATGTTGCCAAAGCTATGCGGCGCTTTCGTTTTGCGGAGCTACCCGGTTAGCTAGCTAGCTCGTCGGCTCGTTGGTGCTGCTGCAAGCCGGGGACGCGGCCCTTAAGGTCGGCGTGCGCGCTCACGCCATGCCGGTGGTCGGAAGGGCCTTACTGGCAGTGGCAGTTTCCCTCAGCTATCTTCGGCTAGATGTAGCGGGGCCCCGAAAGTTCCACGTATTAGATTAGTCGCAGGGATATTTTGTGTTTAAATTTGAAAACAGCCATGCGATACAACTGAAAACAAAACATACGGAGAGGATTGGTTAGATCGGAGCATCTTCTGCAAGCTCCACATGTAAACAAGCCTGGCAAGTGTGTGTGTGTGTGTGAGAGAGAGAGAGTCTGTGGTTGAAGGCTAGCACTAAATATTCGAGTTAATCCTTTGTTGTCTGTAACACTAGTTCTAGGTGTTAAAGTTGAGCTCCGAGTGATTCCGTTCAATTCAGTAATGGGCTTAAAAGTCGTGGATGTTGTTGATCTGCAGCGCTGTCAGACATATCAGCCATTCATTCATGATTGATGACCCTTGAGGAAGCAGACTGTCTGCCATCCATTTCCACCACAGCGAAACCACAACGTGAAGCCACTAACACTTTCTGTGCCTCCAATGTTGTTGGGGGCACATTTTCAGGTAAATAACAGAGCATTTTTTTTTAGAGGGGCGTAGTTTGTTTCAACAGCACTTCACTTTTAAAGTCCCCACTGACCTCACTGGAACTCCCTACAGTGTATGGGAACATGAGGGACTGTCTGTTTGATCTGAACCAGCACCCAAGGAGCTTCAAGGACTGATCAAAGCCCAACAGAGAGCCCCATTGTGTGGACTACCAACTGAACGGGGAAAGAGATGGTGATGATAAGAGAGGCCCAGTGACTGTGTTTGATCCCACCAGGAAGCAGAGGAGTGCAGACATGAGCCTCCGCCAGCCCACATCCACCCTGGACAGGTACGAGCCTGCCGTCCTCTACGTCCAGACGGGGGTCCTGGTATTGGCATCTTATCTCGGGTGCCTTGCGTGAAAATGCAGTGCTCTCTTTTTGTATCAGACCGAGGTCCGGTTTGGCTGAGGGAAAAACAGGTCAGACAGGTTGACTTTAGGGATGGTGAAACAGCCTCCCGGAAGAAGAGGGGGCACATTGTGTAGACATGTCAATAGTTTTACCGCCTCCTTTCATTTGCCCTCCCAGTCTGCACCCTACACCCCCGTGTCCTGCCGTGGATTTTTGCCTTTTTAATGTCTTTCCATCACCTGCGCTGTGTTTCTGATCACCTTTGTCTTAATCATGTGTGTTTCCTGTCTCTCTCACTGTTCACTGTTTTCCCCGGTGTGTTCTTATGCTTTCATCCAATGCTTCCCACTACCTTCTTTGTGTGTCATGTGACAGCAAGGTGGCCAGTGAAAAACACACCCACCTATTCAGGTAGGACTACTGCCCAGCAGTGAATGCTCGTGTTTGGGTGTGTGCGGACGATAGTGATGCCCACAGATTGTACCAGGAATGCATATTTGTAAAAATGACACAAAAGTTGACTCTTCCACAGAGTCAAATATATCCATTTTTAAATATGTACAATTATGCGAGCGGCAGGTCACACACAAGTAACACCTGTGTGGATATTCTCTTAGTCTACATTGGCGGTCTCCAGTGCCACTCTTTGACATCTATTGTCTCCAACTTTTTAAGCTCTACTCTAAAACATCTCACTCGAATGGCTCAGTCACATCTTCAGTATGACATTAGGACTGGATAATGCCAGGTAAGGAGCCATTCATTTTATTGAGGTATATTTGAACAGGCTTGTATCTAAAAGTTGATGGACAGCAACTTTTCCAGACTGGAGTTGGAGACTACTGGCTTAGATCATTTGAAAGAATGAGATCGTTGTCATTGGATCTTGTTGAGCTTTTAGGAATGAAGGTACGCTTTTGGTAGGTTGATAATTTTTGCTCCTGTTGGCTGAAGTGAAATGCACTAGCATTTTTCATTCTCTATTCTGATATGACTCGATGATCATTCGGCTTTCTTTAGGGCTGCTGAATGTCTCTCAAATTTACCTTCATCGTGACACCGGTGTGTGCAATGATAATGTCACAAAAGGCTGTTTGGACTGCTGTAATTGTTGGCTAATAGATTTTGTTAAGAACTTGTATTTCACATTCCTTCTAGATTCCACACCTGACAAAAACGAGTCTCCGATATGTTAACAATAACAGAGTTTTGGGAGCACACACGAAAAAGCCAGATACTGTAGCTAAAAGGATGAAAATGTCAGGAAAATCGTACTTAAATAGTTGAATAGTATTTTAGGTTGACT